CGTGGCGTGGCGTCAGTGCACTTCATCAAATAAGCCATTTCGATCGATCTAACCCCATCTAATCTATTTTCGTCATCACGGCTGCAGTACATCATTTTGCTTTGTGGAGCAGGGGTTTTGGCGATGTGGAAGACAAAGGGAGAGAAGAAAGAATAGCCACGTCTGATCTACGGAGTAAAGCAAGCAAGGCTTGTCGTCGCCAATGCGTATTGTCATAGATATACACAACGACAAGCCGACTACACGCACACAACATATGTAGTATATGAAACCAGCACAGCGGACCATGATAACTCTAGCCTCCACAATGCGCTTATGCGCTATCCATTGAACGTTAATCAACATTTGGCCGAAACAAACGCTAGCTATATTAGCCGCACTCTAAACTCAAAGGCACCGCACTAGGATGGCGTTGAGGGCTGAAAGCGGGACATGACCTTCCGTGCCTTTATCGAGGCAAAGTTTGATCCCTTCACCTTGCTGTACGCATTGTGTCCGTGGGCTTCTCTCGATTTTCCGTGCATCGACTTCCAGAAGCAGATGCCTGCAATCCCCATGTCGACATGATACACGAAATCTCCGACGTTTTGCATCTACGCCGTGTTGCTCGGCCTTTTCAGACATTCGAGATGGACTCCTGCGCAATGCCATGTTCTCACTGATCAAGTTGAGGGCTATACAAGCAGTACGCTATCACATGCCGCTACGCAATAGTACGCCTTTCTGCCACGTTGGATCCGTCTCGGTGGACGGTCCGTAGTGTAACAATGATTGGTGGTGCAAAGTCGACTCATCGACTTGGTTTCCGCTTCCTGCCTCGAGCATCATGTGGATTGTCTTCGCCGAATGCCAGTGGCATTAGTACTGAGTAATGGGCCACATGTTGCACACACAAATTGCACTTCATGTCCGTGCAACATGCTTGGCTGTCAATCTCAAACAATGGCCTGCCCAGTACGCAACCAAGACATCAACTTCTCGCCAGCATCCGAAAGTGCGCCAGCCACAGGGTATCACCGACAGGGCCCAATGCGAGCTGAATGGCAGCATGGACCGTTGCATGGACCGTCAATTAAACCCTGGGGGATGCTTGGCACTTGATAGTACTACTAGTACCAGAGTCATTCGCAACATGTACATGGCAACTCCGCGACAGCCGTGCCGGCCATGTTGGTCTATAGCATTGTCGAATTGAACGAGCAATTACAAGTAATCAAAGCCATCAATGGATCACTGCGCACCATGCTCGCCCCGCGTAAAGAAAGGGTATCCCAGGAAGGGGCGTAAATTCGTAATGCGGCTGGCTCTGCAACTCCACCAGAGTTTGAGCGTGGCTTGCGAGGGCCGCGGCTAGTCGTATGGCAAGGAATCTTGACACAGGAATGATGCGATAGACGTGTTGGTGAAGCTTTTGAGGCGATTATTCTCCGACGCCGTCAAGAGGGGAAATGAACGACTCGGTCTAGGGTGTCACACTGGGCGCTACAGTCTGTGACGGGCAGCATATATTTGAACATTCACTTGTGCGTGTATGGTGTACAATATCGCAGTCTAGTTTTGGACGTCTCTTGGTAGTTTGAATATTGGGTTGCTGAGAGTAGTGAGGGTGTATTCATGCCGATGCAATGCTCGCACGACATGTGAAGGAGGAACATGCTCGTAGGTTGATATACAACTGCTCTTGAGGAGCGTCAACAAACCTCACTGATGCCTCTGCCATGATACGACCCAGCCCGCATTCGAACTATCGGAGTCATACAGCACAGCGTGAGCTGTTGGTGCTTGATATGTCGGCCTACCACTGCTTGCTATATCTATTCCCATGTTTTTCGACCCGAATACCGCAGCTCGCCTGGGACGAGAGGGCAGATTTAGCTCGGAGAATATGCTCAAGCTAGCATACGCACAAGGTATGCATCAGCGACTAGTCTCGGGTAGCAATGGGCGGAGGGCACTCGCCAAACGTGTCCCAATTCAATATGTGCTCTCGCCCGTTTTATGTTTCATAATTGTCGACCTGCAGTTCCATACGAACAGCCCCCGAAACCGTCAACAGCCTGCCTGACCAGAACCGAGGGGCACGGTAATCAATACGCCATGGTCGAAGATTGCTGCAGTCAGGACCAGCAGGGGTTGGCAAATTGAGGGAGGATGCACGACGTGCTGAACGCGGATGGGAGTTAGAGTTCGACAATACCCTGGATCCCGTGAGAATTATCCGATACTACTTACATTGTGTGACGGAAATTAGATTGACCTTGTCGACGTGGTGGGTGGGATGCAAACGGTTTGGTGGCAGGGTACTACCGTTGTAGGGTAGCTTTTGTCCAATTCAAAGACAAAAAAAAAACAAAAAAAAAAAATCCAGCGAGAGGCTGCATCTAGCGATAGTCTAGACAACCCGAGCCTGTTTATAACGTCAATGTCATTCAGAATGGGCCTCTCGTCAAGCCATGACAACACATCTGGATTTTGTGACGGCAGGCGAGCAAAATGGCCGTTACATGATAATGCGCGACACGTGACCCGCATCACGTCCCAGGACTCCAGGAGCTGAAGAGGCGGATAACTACAGGCCGATTCTGACAACCTTTGCGTGATGAGAATTTGTGACGCACTGCACTATGCGCGTCAGACGCAAATTTGGCTCTGCAGCTCGTGTACTGCGGGACGACGGATGACGCCCTACCCTGCTTCTGTCGCGTTACCTTGCATACAAGTCAGGTTACACAACATCCGGGGTGACGGAGCACAGTGAGCGGGCTGCAGCTGTGCAACGCCGGTCGACGGTTTTATCTAGGCATCAATACTAACTGCAACGTCGTCGGTCTCGGCATATTGGCGTCGGAGCATCAAACAGACTCATTCATTGGCCCCCTCCCCAATGTTTGTCACACAGCGTCTGGTTTCACGTTGAGGACAACCATCAGGCCACACCAGCCAGACACCTGGCCTGGGATACTGGACATTAACCATAAATCCGTCAAATCTTGCAAAACCCTCGTACAAGGCTCGGCGGGCCCGCGGCAGAGCGACATGGTTGGCGTCCCTCGCAGCACGGGGTGCCAGCTATGTCGAAGGAGAAGGGTCAAGTGTGATGAGGTACGGCCCGAGTGTGGTAACTGTCGCAAATATGGCGCCGACTGTCCTGGATATGCACGAGGCATAAAATTTGTATCAGGGAAGCATGCAATTCGACCGCGGACAAAAACCGGGAATAGGGAGGGTAGGGAGCTGAGCAAGGAGGCATCGCCGTTCTCGGCAGCAGCAGCAGCGTCGAGGGCGTCGGCGAGTCGATCCTCGAGGGCATCTCCTCCAACGTCAGAGTCAAGCATCTCAACGCTATCAAGGTCACCCCGTCCCAACAGGGCAGAGTTTGTCAGCACCATCGTGGCCTCTGTGAAAGCAGACATCTCCAAGGCTGACATATCGGGGTTTTTGTCGTGGTGTGACATGGACAAATTGGGTGTAAAGGCGGTGCTGGATGGAGCCATGTGCTCCCTGGCCTTGCACCTGGTGGGCAAGGAGAATGAGGATGAGAGCATGGTTGCACATAGTAGGACCATCTATGGGCATTCGCTAGGGCAGCTGCAGACGAGTTTGCGGCACGAGACGGAGTGGAAGACGTCCGAGACACTATGTGCGGCGATGCTGCTTTGCATTTTCGAGGTGAGTTGCCTCGACGAGATTGGCTTTGGTCAACGGGAGGTGCTAACGCTACAATAGCTCTTTGCCGGAACAAATTCATCTGATTCTTGGCTATTGCACGCTAGAGGAATAGGGACGTTGATAGAACAACGGGGACCAAATGCTCACTCAGAAGGATGGGATGCCTCGATGATACTGGCGTTTCGAGGCGTCTTGGTAAGTTCTTCCCCCCTCCACTTTATTTGAGTATACAGCCTGTAATGCACATAGCTGACCGAGCCAGATCATGTGTGACATGTTCTTCCCCTCGGGCGAAGGCTGTTTCCTCTCCCGCCCGGAATGGAAGGCGGTAGCCCGTGACGGAGGCCGCCACCTTATTCACCCTGCAGCTCACCTGGTCAGCACTATTCACGTAATTGACGAGTTCTTTGAGCGCCTTGCGGAAATACCTAGCGTCTTAGCACCAACCTTTGTTCTCCGCGAGTCCAAGACCATGGGCACGCTTCAGCAACCTGATGATGTGGAAATCGCCTCCCTGGCCCTCCGCTCCATTGAGTACCGAAGACTGTTCAACGCCTGGTACGACAAGTTTACGACGATTGCGCCTCTGCCGTACGATATCCCGTCGCAGGATCCAGATTCTCCATTCGACTTTGTCCTGCAGTACAACATGTCGTGGATGGGGTCCATGTACATTGGCTATTGGGCATGTCTGTTGATTCTGCAGGAGGCGTTGGTACAGTGTGAGTGGCCGGAAGAGTTTGAGCAGTCGAGGGGCGAGTTGGTACGGAATATTCTGCGGTCCATTGAGACTGTGGGAGCTGGGACAATGGGCCCGTACAGAGTTGGTTTTGGCATACGAATAGCGTATGAGCTTGCGAGTGCAGAGTTGCAGCTGTGGGTGAGGAGGGTGCTGGATCGGTTCAAAAAGACGTATGCCGCGACGGACAAGTCGACGTATCCTGCGCCGAGGACCGATGATGGCGGATATTCATAGTCGCGGCCAGGTTGTAAAATATGAACAAGAATAAGAGACCGAGTTGATGCGGGTGTAGCATAAAGATGATTATGAATATATACATATAAATATGTATAAAAGCGCAACATGTCACGGCAAGGCAATGGCTACACGATCTGTATAGGGCCATATATTAAATGCAACTATTTGGTAAATTGGTCCCCCACGGGTATCAATCATCATCATCATCATCATCATTGCCCCCAACACATTTGGTATTATTCAGTGGTCATCATAAAGTCATAAAAGTCGTTCCGTACCGGCCAGCAACGATCATGTATCTAGTATACAACAAAATGCCATGGCTAATGCTGCAAATATGAACGGAACCCTTTCAAAACCTTTTCTTGATGGACTTTGCCAGATCTCTCAGCGAAGGGCCACCGAAGATGTATTGATCCGTGTGACGACCGCAGGTGGTGTGAACATTGACGGTGGGCGAGGACTTGATGAAGCTGCTTGATGTTTTCTGGGAGGACGACTGGCCAGAGAAGGTCGAAGCCGAGCTTGAGTAGGACGCAGATCGCTGCCACTTGTTAGATTCGCTCTTGGTGGCTCTGTCTCCTTCTTCTTCTTCTTTTTTTTCTCAGGGGAAAAAGACGGTGGTGATGTAATGTTGGCCACGTACCTTGGAGGAGGAAGGGATAGAAACAACCTCCGAGTCGACAGTCTTGGTCTTGTCAAGATTGAACTTGACTGGCGGGAGAGAGGCCAAGTTCAGCGGGGGAGGGGGAGGAGCACGAGAGGAGCCGGAGTTGTTCATGGCGATGACGGTGAAGATGACGATGGGCAGTTTGTTGATGGATGTATGTATTGCAAGGAGCCAGAGGCACAGGGCAAAGAGAAAATGTCAAGTCAAGAGCGAAAGGCGCAATATTTGTTTCAACTTTCAACTCTCAACACCCGATGGCTTGGCTGGTCTCGGCCCAACCAACGACCAAAATGCAGTTGGTCGCCGGTTGCAGGTATGTATGTGGTGGTTCAATACTGCCGTACGCCCTCGAGACAAACGGGCGCATATACATTCACAGTCAACAAAATCTAGACTCTGGCATACGTCAAATATGTGCTGCGGATTAAGAAGAACGGACAAGTGGGAGAAGAGTAAAATTACAAAGGAGATGGAGGCCAGAGGTTTTTTTTAAGCACGCCGGTTTGCATGCCCTCGCACGCGATAATAATAGAACTCGGCCGCCCTCCATGGCGGCACGACTTGCGTAACTGCGACGAGGTGGACGGCAAGCGTCTTGTCCAAATGGCCGCAAATGGACTCGGCCTGCATCTGGGGCTGAGGTCAGCAGTCTCCTCATACCGGGGTTGCTGGCCAATTGAACGTGCACGTCGTGCTTCGTCACCCGCCGCGTCCAACACGACGGACTGGCCGATTGGGTATGGGCGCTGGAGTGGGCACAAACAAGGCAGCAGAATAAGAGAAGGGAAAAGATGCTCAGGCATTCAGTGTTCCGTTTCGCTGGCCTTGACCCCGCGTTCCCCCGAGGGCTTCTTCAAGGGCTCAATTCCCTTCAAGGGCTCCATAATGTCCTGGGGAAGGTTTGTGCGCCTTTGTCCAGGGTGCATGCCACTCGACTCCCTGCGTTGCCCTCGCAGGGCCATTGCCAATGGAAATGATGTTCTGGGAAGGTTTCTGGAAGGTCTTGACCCCTGCTTGGAATGCATTAGCCCGAAGGGGACTTGAGGTCTTGGCGAACGTCTTGCGGACCGGGCACATCGGGCCGGGATGGGGAGGCAAGCGCGAGATGAGGCTCTTTGCCAGTTTTCGGGCAGGGGGACAGAAGTCGTGAGGCTTTTGTTCCCGTGTCTGGGCCAGCAGGAGCACTGCATGTGCGATTGTCGTTGCGAGGTGCACTTGCGCTTCCGCATCTTGGAAATGAAAATGAGGGCATCACGGTTGGCACTGCACCACACCAATTGAAGAATGGCCACATTGGACGCGGAACCGGAGGATATGGCTTGGTCAAACCGTGTAAACGACATCTTCTTGCTGCCGTGGTACAATGTTGGTGTATGTCGGCATGAAATCGATTTGACACTTGGTTTCCCAGCAATGTCGGTGCCCTTATTCCCGTGCAATCTCCACTTCCCGGCTGGGGCAGTGGCTGAGCAGCTCCGTGCCGCCCCCACGCCGAGTGGCTCAGTCGCCCTGCCATCTGGCCTGCTGCGCCTCCTGCCCCGAGGACCCCAGCCCGTTGAGCCGCCTGGGCTCCCAAGCCCAACTCCCATCCTCCACGCGTGCCAAACTCCCCGTCCGCAACCCAGTGGGACAAGCGCTCATCACCAGCCTTAGCCGGGAGCTTGGACGGAGCCGCGACAATGGCGTCATGGCAGTTGAGATATCATGGGCAATTAGATCTAGTCTGCGACGAGGACGTGATGGAGTTCGCACAAGGAATTGACTAGTCTTCTGCGGGCTGCAAGACCCGGTGGAAATGCCAAATGAAGCGCGTTTTTGACCTTGACCGTCTGAAATAGTGAGAAATGAGTCTTTTGTCCGCGATATGACAGTATTTCGAAAACATTCATGGCTATTCAAATCTTCATTTGCAAATGCTGAATGGATTCATCCTGGTAGCACTTCTTTGTGTGGAGCATTCTCCTGTCCCGAACAATAATGGCAGACTTTTATTCGCCAGCTGCTGCCTCCCTGCACGTGAGACCCGCCGGCCTGGCCAGCCTATCTGTCCGCGACGCGCCAATCCAGCGTCAACCAAACTCGACTGGCCCGAAGGCTTTGTCCTATCTAGCACGCATCATCGTCGTGTTTCTTTTGTCCGGCCGGTCGCTGTGGCGGCTATACCATCTGATTTTCTTCTCGAGACGCCATTCGTCATTGCATATTGCATTTGGCCTTGCGCGTCCCCATCGCCCTAGTTGAAGCTGCCCGGGAGCTCTGTACGCGGCGGCCTTCATGCATGCCGTGCATTTTCATCATTCAGCCCAGGTCAGTGATCAGGCTAGAACTCGTCTCATCACCACGCAACACATGTCGATGATGGGGAAGAGTGTACCCAATTGAACACTGTCATCGTTTCGTCTTTTTACCAACCAACTTTGCTAGTCGACTACGGCTCATTTCTCTCTTGGAATTAGCAGAAAATGCTGACGCTTCCGTCACCCACTAGTTGATTCCCGATCCTTTTACTCCCAGTGTCCGAATTTATCTTTTTTTTTCCTTCGTTATATATATTCTTTTCTTCACTGTGGCCTCTAGATCCTGCGCTATCGAATAAACGCCTCCTACAATGGTCAGCAAACGAAAGAGGGTGCTGGAGGACTTCGACCCGAACAAGTCTGACTCCGAGGATGAGAACTTTGACCCTTCGGAGGCTAGAGCACCAAGAAATCCCAAGAAGGTTAGGCCATCCCGTGGCCCTCGCCCTGCTGGTGGTCGCAAGAGAAGTCACAGATATCGAGGCTCCGACATTGACGAGGATGACGAAATCCTGTCCGACAGTCTGGGCGAGGACTCCTTTGGCGAGGATGAGTCAGAAGACCAAGATGCACCTGTGAACGCCGCTGGCCGTCGAACGAGAAAGGCTGCGAGAACTCACCACAGTTATCGGGAGAGTAGCGCTGATGAGGAGGCAGAGGACGTGGTAAACGACTCGGAAGACGCTGGCCAGGATGCCCAAGAGCTAGATGAGCCCTCAGCTAGAAGACTTGTGAAGCTCAAGGTCCCCAAAGGCCCCTCTGCTGGGGCTACGCGAAGAGCAACGAGAGCTAGCACTGCAGATGTGGACGACTTCGTTGAGCTGTCCAACTCTGGTAGGCACGCAGTGGCGTCTCGCAACTCAAGAAGCCGCAGTCCGGAGACGTATTCTAGAACCCGACGGTCTTCCCGCTCTATGAAAGGATTGCACGCGGCCCCTGAAACCATTGATGAGGCGACTCAAGAAAGCAGTAACCGTGCTGCTGACGATGCAGATGAGCCTGACGAACTCTCACACGACTACAAGCCTGTCGAGAAGAAGGAAGACGAGGACGAAGACATGGCGGACACGACTGTTGTTATTGCGGATGACGTGGCTGAACCTGTGAAGGAAGCCGAGGCTGTGCCTGAAACTGCCGCAGGTGCTGGTGCTGGTGCTGGTGCAGGTGCAGGTGATGGTGCAGGTACAGGTGCAGGTGCAGGTGCAGACGACAACGACGACGACGAAGACGACGATGTCCCTATAACGCGCAGGACTCGTTCATCGCGGGCCGCCGCTGATGCATCGAATGAGGACAAGGCGGAGGAAACCCATGAGACCAGTACAAATTCCCGCCGTCTGAGGCGGGGTCGCTCCAAGAAATCTACTCAAGAACCTAGCAGTGACTTTGAGCCCGGCGACGATTCGGAGGAGGAGGCCATGTCAGAAACAAAGGGCGAGGATATTGAGAGTCCCACACCAAGAGGGAGAAAAGATAGACGAAGTGCACGCAACTCACGCCGCGGCGCCGACTCGGGTGACGAAGAGCTCGACGTTGACTTGGATGAGCTGAACGAGGAAGCCCGTGAACTTCGGCAATCATCAAGACCTCGCCGACGACCTAGAGACGAGTCACCACCCATTGTTTACCAGGAATCTCGTCGCGCCCGAACCAGAGTTAACTATTACATGCCTCCATTGACTGCAGCCAATATCGAAGAAGAGGAAGTCGCGGACCAAGCCCCTACCCCAGCTCGACGACGCCGCGGTGGCGCCAGCATAGGATGGGAGAGAAATCTCAACACCACCTTTGGTCCCTTTGGAGGGGGTGGCGGAGGGGGCTCGCTTCTCAACGGGCCATGGGGCACCGGCGCAGCTGGTGGTGTCGACTCTGACAGCAGCGACGACGAAATGGTTCACCGTTCAAGTGTTGGTGGAAATATCGGCATGACACCGACAGCAGGTGCTCCAGCCGGGGGCTTGCTTCCCGGTGGCCTCGGACTGAACCCCGAAGCAACACCCAATGTCGGCAAAATCAAGGACAGAAAGGCTCTTGCAGATGCAGATCCCCTTGGTGTCGACATGAATGTTGATTTCAGCAAGGTTGGAGGTCTGCAAGGCCACATTGACCAGCTCAAGGAGATGGTTCAGCTTCCTCTGCTGTACCCTGAACTCTTTGCCAAGTTTCATGTCACTCCACCTCGTGGTGTTCTCTTTCATGGCCCTCCAGGTACTGGTAAAACTTTACTGGCCCGTGCCTTGGCCAACTCGGTCGGTTCCGGGGGTCGAAAAATCTCCTTTTACATGCGCAAAGGCGCTGATGCCCTCAGCAAGTGGGTTGGTGAAGCAGAAAAGCAGCTGCGTCTTTTGTTCGAGGAAGCCAGAAAGACTCAGCCTAGTATCATCTTTTTTGATGAGATTGATGGGCTGGCCCCTGTTCGATCCAGCAAACAGGAGCAAATCCATGCCTCCATCGTGTCTACTCTGCTGGCATTGATGGATGGTATGGACGGCCGTGGCCAGGTCATCGTTATTGGTGCCACCAACAGACCCGATAATATTGATCCTGCCCTTCGACGACCCGGCCGATTCGACAGAGAGTTCTATTTCCCCCTGCCGGATATCGAGGCCCGTAGGTCCATTCTCAGTATTCACACCAAGGATTGGGGCCTGTCTGATCCATTTATGGCTTCCCTTGCCGAGAAGACCAAGGGCTACGGTGGTGCTGATCTTCGAGCTCTGTGCACCGAGGCAGCGCTCAATTCCATTCAACGGACTTATCCTCAAATATACTCTTCCACAGAGAAGCTCGTTGTGGATCCAAACAAGATTAATATTCATGCCTCGGACTTCATGCTCTCTATCAAGAAACTCATTCCTTCTTCGGAGCGTTCGGCCACATCTGGCGCGAAGCCTTTGCCCAGGGCTGTAGAACCCCTTCTGCGGGCTCAATTTAGCGAAGCAAAGCGCTTGTTGGACGAATTGCTACCCAGGAAGAAGAAGATCACGGCTCTCGAGGAGGCCATGTACGAACAATACAATGACGAAGACCATGGCTTTGCACGAGAAGCTATGCAACAAGAATTTGAGCGATCTCGAGTGTTTCGACCTCGGTTCCTCATTTATGGTCCGCATGGAATGGGCCAAGCGTACATTTCTTCTGCTATCTTGCACCACTTTGAAGGCGTCCATGTCCAGAATTTCGATTTACCAGCTCTTCTTGCTGATGGGAGGGTAAGTGCTGTTTGCATGATTTTATTACCGTTGTAGCATTTTCTAACGGCTTGCAGTCTATGGAACAAGTCATTGTTGGCCTATTCACTGAAGTCCGTCGCCACAAGCCCAGTGTCATCTATATTCCCAATGTCGATGCCTTCTACACTACCTTGTCTGGAACTGTTGCGTATATAACCTTCAAGACCATGTTGAGATCGATTCCACCTACAGACCCCGTGCTCTTACTTGCTACGGCTGAGTGCGCTAAATATGAGCTTCCTTCTCAGTTGATACAGGATCTATTTGGATTCTCGCGTAGAAACAGAATGGAAATTCCTCGACCAGAGAGGGTAAGTGCAACATGCCAGTCTTTCTTCTTCTTTTTGTAGCTCAAGTAGAGATTGGTCTAAATGTCTTTGCAGGATAACCGAATGGAGTACTTCAAAGCGACTCTTGAGTACATCAAGAAGAAACCGGCCGAGTTTCCTGATCCTGAAAACCGAAAGAAGAGAGTTCTCGAAGAACTTCCCGTTGCTGCCCCTATTGCAGCAAAGCCGCCAACCAAGGAGGAGGTCAAGGCATTGAAGAGAAAAGACCACCAGTGGCTCAATGCCCTCAAGATTCAGCTTCAGCCAATCATGGACCAGATCAATCGAAAGTACAAAAAGTTTAGACAACCTGTCATTCCACAGAGTCACATTGACTACCTCTTTGCCGAGTCTGATCCCAATTATGTTCGACCAGACCTAGCAGGAGGGACCATCCGACCTTATGAGATTGTGAAAGACAAGTATGGCAATGATGTACTTCGAGACACTGCCACAGGCAAGTGCTACTACAATTTGGAGACGACTACCATCGAGGAGCGGCTGTCGAATGGATTCTACGCGCGGCCACAAGACTTCTTGTTCGACATTAAGGCGCTTGCCAAAGATGCCAGGAACATTGGCGACAAGGAACGCACACTGAAAGCCAATGAACTATTGAGCAACGTAGAGGTTGACATCGCTAGTATCGAAGCCGGCAATGCATCAGTTGATTGGGAAGGTTTGCATCGACGTCAAGTTCAGCGGGCGGCAGAAGCGGCGGAGAAGGAGAGAAAGCGCAAGACTATGCAATCCATACTGGAACGCGTGCAATCTGATTTAGGAGGAGGCAATGATAGCGACTCGCAAGGACCACTCACGCTGGGCGAGACTGTTCCCGGATCTCGCACAACCGCGCGGTTCCAGCTTCGAAGCCCGCTGTCCAATGGACACGAAGAGGCTGCTGGGCAAGACCAAAGCAACTTGAGTAACGGTACAGAGGGAGCCTCGAAGGAGGGCGATGTACGGATGAGCGGAGTAGATGATGACACTCAGCATGCAACACAAGCATCAGTCATGGGGCCACCCGCAAAGTCTGAGAACGACTCTACCAAGCACACGGGGATGACGCAGATTTCACAAAGGTCAGCCGTGACAGCTCTGCCACCTGGAGTGTCGCCTTCGGCAGTGGTTAATGATGCCTCGACCACCAAGACATCGGATCCATCCACTCATCGGTCTTCCAACTTTAGTACTCAGCTCACCAATGGCAACCACGGTGCACAGCAGAGCAGCGGGGATGGCGACCAAGATGTGGAATTGCCAGACACGCTCGTGGTACCGAGCCAGGCAACACCCAGCGACGAGGTTTGGCCTCACTCGCAAGCGCATGGCCTCGCACGGGGTCAGGTGGCACCTGGGACCACCAATATGAGTGGCAGTCAAGTGTCAACTCCGTCTCAGGCTCGCCATTCCGGTGACCAAGCTGGTGATGGATTAATTCAGCCATCCCAGGAACCACAGTCGCAGGAACCCCACGGACTGCGTTACTCGGGCTCGTCGGCTTCGCAGCCACCAGCCGTCGAAGGCGCAATCGAAAATCTGCTCCATTTGTTAACTGACGGCACGTCGGGCTGCACGATTGAGCAGTTGGAGCAAATCAACCGAGAATTGATGGATGAGATTTGGAAATCCAGACACGAATGGAACCGCCACGCAGTTGTGGTGCATCTGGGCGGTGTGTTTAACGATGTGATATCAGATATTGAGCAAATACAGGCTGTAGGGTCTTCGAGTCAGCGCGATAGCCATCTGGATAGATGAAGGAAACCGAAAAAAAAACGAAAAAAAAACCGGATAAAACAAGAGAACGGGATCAGGTCAATTGGGTAGGGTGCGGGTAATTGTGGAAGTCTTATCTTGTTTTTATCTTTTTTGGCTCCTTTTGTTTTACTTTTTTCTTGTACTATGAAAGCCAAGCATGTCAGTGGCCAGCCAGAGGGGGGAGTTTTGGTTGTAGCAATTCTACATGGAAGGAGACAAATGCACCGAAAATAAAAAAAAAGAGAGCTAGAGTAGAGCACCAGCGAGCATATACGACTCTTCTCGATTTGCTTCAACTTTTTTTTTTGTCTTGGCCGCGAAAGAATACAGCTCCCAGTCGTATATTTGTACAAGATGTTGCTAATACAAAGTACTACCTACTAACTATATCTTGGGCTTGGCCAGGTCTATCCTCTTCCCTTCGTCGTCCTGCTCGGCAACACTCAAGTCGGGCAGCTTGGCGGGCAGCATCCTGCGCGGCTGGGCGCCCGGCACGACGGCGTACTTTTGAAAATCGGCGACGCCGCAAAAGTCGCGCAAAAAGTCCTCGTCGAGGAACAGCTCGCCGTTGACCTTGTCCGCGGGGGCGCGGAGCACGCCCAGCACGGCGTCGCTGAAGATGGTTGCCTTGCGCAGGTCGCGGCGCTCCTCGGGCGAGGAGCCGCCAAAGTGCTGGGTGGCCGCAGACTCGATGGCCTGTCGTTATTTTGGCAAAAAAAGGTCAGCCTCCCATGTCCATGTGTGGGTTTGATTCCTCCCGCGATGTAGGCGACGGCATTCGGAAGAGGAGGGACTCACCACGGCAGGCCACATGCTGGAGATGGCCATGCCGGCGGCCAGCTTGCCCTCACGGGCAAAGTCCATGCCCAGGCCCTTTGTCAGGACGCTCATGCCCACCTTGCCCATGGCGTAGGCCGTCTTGCCGCGGAAGAAGCGGCTGTAGATGGGCGGGCTGACGACGACGACGCGCGCGGCGGGCGAGAGGTGCGGCAGCGCGGCCTGCACCACGGCGTACAGGCCCTCCGGGTTGACGCGCTGCATGAGCTGGAACCGCTTGAGGGGCGTGTTGGCCACCGACGACCAGTATATCGCGCCCGAGTTGTACACCAGCACGTCGAGCCGGCCGTACGCCTTTTTGTTTTTTTGCAACCGTCAGCTCCTCGAGCAGGCGGGAGGCGGGAGGCGGGGAGACTTACGGCAACGGCGTCCGAGACGAGCTTGTTCACGCTCTCCTCGAACCGGACGTCCACCTGCAGGGCGAGCGCGTCGCCGCCGGCCGTTGTGATTTCCCGGGCGACGGTGGTGATGGTGCTGTCGGGGGAGTTGGGGTCCGGCGGGAAGGGCACGTTTTTGGACGCATCGCTTGTGGATTTGGCCGCTACGACGACTGGGTGACGGGCGTGGCATCAGTACCGTGCCCCCCCCTTTTTGTGTCAAGTTCTTGTTTTGCTGGGATGTAAGTTACCTGCGTAGCCGTTCCTGGCCAGATCAACTGCCACCTGGCGGCCCATGCCGCGTGATGCGCCGACTACTAAAGCGACGGGCTTGCCCATTTTTTGAACGTGAACAGGACGAACTTGTGTTTTGGGACAAACCGTTTTTAGTTTTATGACTTTTTTGTTAAATAAAAAAATGATCAAAAGGGAAGACGGTTTGTTTTGTACATTTATAAGTCGGGGTTGGAGGAGATGGAACAGCAGCTCCGGCTTGGATGGATGGGTTGTCGTTGGAGCTTCCCCGGATATGTGGGTCCAGGTGGGGTCCAAAAGCGCCGCTGCCTCGGCTGGTGGGCACGGCTGGTGGGCACGGCTTGATGATGAAGACGGCCGATGAGATGGGATCGGACGTCGGCGGCCTGGGAAGACCCCATAACGCGAGCATGTGAGCGAGGGTACACCCACTGCATGGACATTGGTTGTCATCTTAGTGCGGTAGGGCTGATCCCACCCCTTCTTTTTATGACAATGTGGCTGGGCGGGATAAAGGCCCATTTGCTGTCGGCGACTTCGCTTCACATGGCTTACACTGACAAGCGTGTACTTTCACCCCCTGCTGTACTCCGTACATCATGACATTCTTTATTTAAAACCTGATGAATACTTCTTGATGGGTAAATATATTCTGCCACAGACTGTATTCTACAGCAACTGCATCCTCCTTCCTTCTGGTATCAACCACACGTCCATCCATTTCTGTAATGCTGCAGCCAAGTCGAATTTCGGTGGATATTCCTCAGCCGCCACGCCTGAATACGAGTGTATTAAACTCTGGACATGGCCCGACGAAACGTTGACCGGGTGTGCCATCTCAAACAAGGCCCCCAGTAGTGCTGGATATCCCGCCAACTGAACCTCACAAGCATATTCAAGCACCGACTGTGGGCCGTGCTCGTTGTCGATTCTTGCACCGTTTGACAGCAATATTTCTAATCGCGTCTTGATATGTCTGACGTCCTCTACACTCACCGACACATTGGTGTCTTTGTAGCTGACCGGGTAGTTGGGTCGCAGATGCGAGCTCAGGAGAGCTTGTAGAATGGAATGGGAATGGAAACTATTTGGAGCCGCTGTCTCCCGTTTCATCGCGACCGAATCTACCCTGGCGCCCGCCTTGATGAGCATTTTTATTGTTCCAGGCTCGCTATCGTACAAGACGGCGAACAGTAATGGCGTACCGTCAAAGGGCGCATCCTTGGTTCGTCGCATCTCTGCACTAGTCACCCGTGATTCCTTGTTGAGGTTTGCGTAATCATGCTGAATTAGTGCCTGAAGCATTCTTATTCTAGGTTCGTAGTTCCAGGGGACCCACGAGTTCCCCAGTAGACTTTCATGGAGTAATGTCCATATGTAGTCGCCCGTGTCAGATTCAGCACCTATGGTGGGATCGGCTTCTTGGTGTAATAATTGTGTAGCAACATCAAAATTATTTCTCGCAATGGCAAAATGGAGAGGGGTGTATCCCATGAGGCTGACTGGGTTAACTTCAGCCCCTCGGTCCACGAGCATCCTGACCACCTCTGCACGCGTCGTTCGGCCTTTCGAGTTCAAAGTCATGGCAAGACAGTGTAGCGCTGTGTGGCCATCATCGTCCACAGCACCGAGATGGAAACTTGACTTGTCAAGCAGGACGGGGACGCAGTCAACATTCTCTGATCGTGCTGCCCAGTGCAAGGCTGTGCAATTCCGTGGTAGTGACAGGGCCCCGTTGATCCCAGGAAGCGTGATTAGGAACTCGCAAATGCTCGCCTGGCCCGTTTCAAGTGCCCGTAAAAATGCCGTCTTCCTCAGCTCGAATGCTGCGTCAGGAGTCAGGCCATGCCACATGACCAGTAGACGAACAGCGTCGACGTGCCCATTTACGACGGCAAAGCCTAGAGCATCCGTTGATTGCGCGTGGATGTTAATTCCGGGTTGATTCAGAAGATAGTGCAACAACTCAGTATGCCCATGCTGGCATACCATGTGCAATGCCGACCAGCCCCTTGACGTTGTTTGATTGACACTTACCGTGGGTTGTTGGAGAAGCAGATGAACAACGCGATTTTTGTTCATGGCGGCCGCATGGGGAAGAGCAGGCTCACCGTCGTCCACCATGTTAGCACCATGACGGATGAGCATGTCCAATATTATTTGGTTCTTCCTGACGCAGCTAGCATCATGCCTGAGATTACGGGCGGTCAAGGCTATGCCTAGCGGATAACGCTTTGCCTTCCCAATCCAAGGCGGTGAGTGCACATGACCTCCATTTTGAAGGATGTATTCTACTATCTCTGGATGCAGGTTCTTAATAGCCGTGTGTAGTGGTGATGGAGGCTCCCTTTTCGTTTCCCGCTTGACGTTCAAGTCGGCCCCGAACCGATGGGCCACCCTGAAGGTGCCGAGCCGGCCAACCTGTGCAGCCCAGAAAAGACAAGACGCACTTGGAGGGTCATTTCTGATATTAAGCTTGTACAGATGGGCATTGAGTGCTGTATAGAAAACGAGTGATGTGCGGACAAGTGTGTTGAGGCTTCGCCGATCATCGAACCACTCGCCGATGTTGAGAAGGAGTTCTGGTGGGAGACGCTCGATGGGGGCCTTTGTCTTCTTTTTCTCCTCTTCCTCCATTTGACTGTGCACAGAGGGTACCGGGCTATTGCGCTCTGTACTATAATATACCATGATATATCAGTGTATACTTCTTGGTGGGCAAATATTATCTGCCACAAACTGTACCGTAGAAAAAGTATAGATTGCCGTGTGCCTAGGCGAGGTGCTGGAAATATCTCCGAATATTGAAGATGCCTGACGGTGTTTTGGCCGCCCGATCATGGTTGGGCGTGCAGTCTTTGAATGCAGGAAGGGAGAAGAATCGGTGTGCATAACAACCAAGCGACGTGGACCAACAGCTCGGCGCAGACTTCCAAAGTTGCCATAGTGGGCAGCCCAGAGGCTGAGTCGGTCCACGCATGATGAAGAGCTGTCAAATATCCTGCGATGGGATATTAAGGGAGAAGTATGATGCAGAATTGAATCCAGAGTCGAACAACACGAGCGGCCGTCTTGCCGAAGGCTAAGACGATACGTCGGTGCAATGTCTCTGGCAAGATGTCTGTGCCCATTGTCCTCCTCTGCCCTTGCCTCCCACTGCGAAACCAATTACTAAGTACTAGTAGGTACCAAGGTACTTGGGCACTGGCCGTGGGAGGCAAAAAGGAACCATTTGGCCAAATCAGATACTTGGCTATCGCGCTTCATATTATAATACAGTAGTGTGTGCTTTTCCGTGGGTAAATATTTCTGCCACAGACTGTAGTACTTTGAGGCTTCTTGTGCAAGCGAGTGCTGATTCCAGGTAGTGCTCGGTACTCAGCACGTCGAGGCCCATCGGTAAAGCGCCTTGGTGCGTGGAGTTAAAGTTGTGTCCGCCAGAATCGTAGGCTTACGAGAGATTCCAATCCCTCTTGCCAATCCAACATGTGTTAACCTCCACAAGTTGCACCTCTATCGTCCGTTGAAATTCCTAAATGACCTTTTGTCTTGTTGCCGCTCCAATTTCCTGAAACTTCCGCCCCGCCGCATCAATTGAATGCCTCTTTCGAGTTAGCGCGAGCGACATCGCCCGCCAGCAAAGCCAATGGCAGCCCAACACGTGATATCCCGTCTGAGTCACTGAGCGTTGGCGGACCTTTTTCGGCGTGCGCAGGGGTGTAGTACATGTACTAGTACTCCGTAGTAGTACTTCTATTCCCAAGTTCCAACCCCTCCACTCAATAACTGCCCCTCCATATTAAACTGCCGACTCGGGGACGATTGCTAGAAAGGACTGTACGACATCAAGATGTCTCCCACGATTATTCATCTGAGGGCTGAGACCAAGCCGCTGGAGCGTCGTTCTCCATGTAAGCCCTGCCTCTACCTCGAATTTCTTTCTCTTCCCCCTATGTTTTGGCTTTTGGAAGAAAAATTTTTTTGCTAATTGGTTGCAGTATCACCCGAGGGAGCCAAGGCCCTTCTCGATGCTGGCTATGTTGTGCGAGTGGAAGAATGCCCAAACCGTATCTACAAGACGGACGAGTTCAAGGCCGCCGGCGCTGAGATCGTCCCAACTGGCTCATGGGTCAATGCCCCAACAGATCACATTATCCTGGGCTTGAAGGAGCTGGAAGCAGATGGCAGTATGTTTCGTTCGATCAATTCTACTTTTCAGAAGGCCAATTGCTGATTCCTCCCCCCTTTTCTCTCTTCATTTTCAGGTCCATTGCCACACACTTATATCCACTTCGCACATGTTTTCAAAAAACAGTTTGGATATGCTACAGAGCTGTCACGTTTCTCAAAGGCAGGCGGTTTGCTCTATGATCTAGAGTTTCTTGAGGAGGGCGGCAGGAGGGTGGCAGCGTTTGGGAGGACGGCTGGATTCGCTGGTACAGCTTTGGCCCTCTTGTCTTGGTCACACCAGATCCTTCATCCAGGAACGCCTATGGGCCCTGCGCCAGTATTGGATTCTGCCGCCGATCTGGTCGCTCTTATTCGATCGAAGGTCCAAGAGGCCCTCCCAGCAAACAATGGAGAGTATCCTCGCGTCATTATCATTGGCGCGCTGGGCCGATGCGGCACAGGAGCGCTCGATTGTCTGAAGGCTGTAGGCATCCCTGAAGCTTCGATCTTGAAGTGGGATCTGCCGGAAACGAGCCGTGGAGGGCCGTTCCCCGAGATTGCGACGTCGGATATCTTCGTCAATGCCGTCTACCTCGGCGCTGCCCCTGCTCCCCCATTTGTCACCATTGAATCGCTATCAGGGCCCGAGAGACGTCTTCGCGTCATCTCGGACGTGTCATGCGACCCAAACAGCGACAACAATCCCGTACGCGTGTATTCTCGTCACACCTCGTTTGAAAACCCCACCACCCCTGCTGAGGGCAAGCTGGACGGGCCCGAGCTACGCATCATTGCTATTGACCATCTTCCCACATTGATTGCTCGCGAAGCTAGTGATGAGTACTCCTCATTGCTTCTGCCGAGCTTGCTGACTCTGAACCGCCGGGACACTGAAGGTGTCTGGGTGAGGGCAGAGAAGACCTACAGAGATAGAGTTGCCGAATTGCCTTAGAGGATCACTTCGTCCTAATCAACAAGGTCGGATCATTAAAATCTTTCTTCACTTCTGTGCTAGTGTTCTCGTGGAGATGAAACACTGATTTGGCGTCGTATCAATGACATGCTTTGTGTAGCAATTGTACTCTCCAATGGCTTTGGTTTAATGTTGATGAGGAAATGACGTCAGTCCCATGGCCATCCCCCAAAAAAAAGTAAATAATGGGACGGACGAAAGAGTGCTGATGCTACGCTTGCTCAGGAAACACGATGCCTTCGTCGTGTATTGTATCAAACAAATACAAATTGAGATTGTGGCTGCATTGAGGAAATGGAAACGGGAGGAAGCAGAATCAACAGCGAGGTAGGCTAGGACAGATGGTTGTTCAATGTGCAGAAAAGCGTTGTTTGGTGTGTTGCCGACAAGGTTGACTGGATTACTAAACTCTCCGACTCGCTACTCCGTGCTCCATCGCTCATCCGCAATGAGCCTCGGCTCCCCACGCTCCCAAAGTCTACACGATCGGCCACTAGCTTCCCAACCCCAGATCCGAGTCGAGACTCGAGAGCTACAGAAACCATGCTGTCCCGACGCCCTTAACTACCTGGGCAATATCCGATCGCGCCATTGGCACCGAACCAGAATATCTCATTTCTCCATACTCTTGGCTCAGGTGCTGACCTAATTGTGCATTTGTACGAACAAAAATGGCTGGTGGACGCATCGATTGCTACCTGGACCTTGGTAAGCCCCCATATGCCCATGCTCTAGTCAATAATTCACTGACCAAGCAAACTTGCCTGACGTTTTTAAACCACAGCGTCCTTCTTTAGCTATATTTGTATTGCAGACTTGCGGCTCAATTTGGATAAGCTAGCCGCCCATGGAGTTGATGTAGAGTGAGTCCGGCCAACACGCATGGGAAATTGACAATCCGGCCTGGAGCCTGACATGTATTATTACTATCACTAGGTTCCATCCCATCTTTCTGGGAGGCATCAACCACCTGTCCGGTAAGCATAGTTGGAGCATGGGCAACACATCAACTCGGTAGTCTAACCCCGTCAAAAGGCAATCGGCCACCATGGACCTTACCTGCCAAGGCCAGGTATCTCATCTACGACAACAAGCGCGCCGCCGCCCGCGTCGGCATCACCGAGTACCAGGCGCCCGATGACCTGTTTGAGCGAGCAAAGACGCAGTCTGCCCTGCGGGCCCTGCTCTTCATCAAGGCCAACTACCCCAAGGAGAAGCTCCTGTCGGCGATGCACTTCCTGTTGCACAAGTTCTGGACGCCCCCCAACGCCGATGTCGTCGACGAATCCAGCCTGCGCGCCCTGCTTGCCCAAGCTACCGAGACGCCTGGCGGCGGAGCCAAGCTGTTTACCGAGGAAGAAGTTGGCCGGATCATGGATGGCAGGGCGGAGATGAAGAAGAAGTTGATCGAGGACACGGCCAAGGTTGTCGAGTCGGGCGCTTTCGGCTGCCCGTGGTTCTTGGTGACAAACTCCAGGGGCGAAACTCAGCCCTTCTTTGGGAGTGACCGGTACGTGGATTTTGTCTGAAAGTCGAAGAATTCAAAGGCGTGTTGCTGACTCTTTTTTTCTTTCTTCTTGTTAGATTCAATCATATTTATATGCATCTTGGCATCCCGTTCCAGGATGTTGCGATTCTGCCACCATCCTCGGCAGCCAAGTTGTAGAAATATACAAAGTGTATATATACCAACAAATAACGGTCCACTACGTAATTATTCTTTATTTCTCGTATTTTTTCCCCCTATCTCTTGCCATCTTGAAGTAGTAGTAGTGCCGTAGATGCTCCCTTGATACCCACTTCGTCCCGCACCAACACTCAACGCCAACAACCCCCACGCATCTCGCACTTCCGCCTCACGACATGACCAACCCCACGATGCAGCCCGAGTTGACGCTCATCGTCGCTGCCACGCGCAGCATGGGCATCGGCCTGAACGGCACCATGCCGTGGACAGGTCTGCGCAAGGAGATGCAGTATTTCGCGCGCGTCACGACGCGGGTCTCCCCACAGGTAAATCTCCCGTCCCCGTCACGAACAAGGGCATGCACGTGGTAACCCGCCCGACGTGATCAAGGCGCCGCCCAACTCTGTCAATGCCGTGATAATGGGCCGCAAGACGTGGGACTCTATCCCGGCCAAGTTTAGACCCCTGAAGAACCGCCTCAACATCATCGTGTCCCGGCAGCACTCGGCGACGCTTCCTGCTGAGATTGCGCCCTCTGAACCTGTGAGGGTGTCCTCGCTCGAGCAGGCTGTTGAGTTTGCGAGGACGCACCCCCTTATAAGTAGGGTGTTTGTCATGGGGGGAGGACAGATATATGATGCGGCGCTCAGGATGGATGCCGCGAAGAGGGTGTTGCTGACGAGCATAGAGAGGGAGTATGAGTGCGATACCTTTTTTGGCTTGGATTTGCGAGGTGATGCGGCGGGGAGTCTGGGATGGCGGAGGAGGCAAAGTGATGAGTGGAGGGAGTGGACGGGAGAAATTGGAGATGCGAAGATGGAGGAGGGCGGTGTTGGGTACGAGTGGCAGATGTGGGAGAGGGAATGATGGACATTTGTGGTCGATGATGCCAGTGGGCTGATTTGGCGCCGCGTTTGGGCATATCGCGGGATTGGCAGTCATGGAATGCTAGATCATGACGAGAGCCTGCAGCGGGAACTCGGACATTGTGCCCTAATGTACAATTGTTGCTATTTTTGTTTAATACAGCGGCAGAAGTTGGAATATCATCTGGCCAGATATACAACGACAGCGTCGTCTGTAGCCTCCCCTTCTTTTGTCCACACGTAATTATACATGCCGCCGCCATGCCGAAACTCCCTCCTTTCTGCACATCAAATTTTCACCCATTAGATTATGCCTCACTCCCCATTCTTCTTCTTGGCTTCCCCTTCAAACGCCTTCTTAAACGGCTCCTCCAACCGGCTCCAAAACACGTCCACCGGCCTTGCCAAAATATCACCCGCCTTCTGCGGAAAGTCCACGTCACTCGCCGCCTCCAGCGACGCCAAACTCGACCTCATCCACCCGACAATCGCGCACAACGACCTCGGATCAACCTCCGGCGCCCCCTTGAACAAGTTTCTCCAAACGGCACTCGCAAGGATAGCATCGCCCTTGATGAGACCTTCGTCGTACGCAAGCAGCAGGCCGCGCCACTGGACGAAAATATCCTTCAGGTACCGCTGGCGCAGAGCGCTCGAGGTGATGTTGTGATCGAGGTGCATCTTCTTTTCGCAGTCGAAGAAGAAATGGTCGACGAGCTGCTGCTGCCAGTTACGGAAGGTGTCGCGCTCGAAGCAGCGGACGCGGGCTTGGAGGAGGTAAAGATGGAGCATGGTAACGTGGGACCAGGTGCTGAAGCTGGGTTGGAGGCCGAAAGCTGTTGTTCCCCCCCCAGGGAAGTCAGTTTGTGTACTTTTTGGTTTTCCTTTTTCTAGGCAAGGAACGTATATTTATCAACAACGTACTCTTGTGCCACACATTCCCTGCATCGATAGGCGTGCCCAACTCCTCGCCGTCTTCTAACCTCTCGACCTGGTCGTTGTTGCGTGCCTCCTCGGAAATGTGGTAGTCTGCGGGCTGCGCGCAAATCTTGTACAGCTTTTCAGAGGCACCAAGAACCCGATACGACTCGCCTAGTGTTCCCATGCCCAGGATCCTTCTCTGGGGCGTGTTGCTGAACCATCGGGTGGGTGCAGGCTGTGATGAGCTTGTCGGTCGCGACAGGTTCAGGGTCCTTGCCGGGGCGGCTCTGACGGCGGACGCGCGAATTGCTGCCCGGAGGAGCGTCCGCGTTTGTAGCCTGCACGATTCGCAGGCCATTATGATCTCCACGCCTTCTTTGGGCCAGGAAGACGCTGTGTGGTCAAGGTGGTTTGGGCGGGGGTTTGCTTGTGACTGCGGAAGTCGTGAAAACGAAGCTGGAGCTCTTCTGAAGTCGATGACTTTTTTGGATGTCAGAGAAATTATTTGGCATGCGAGTGGCTCGGGTGGTCCGTGCGTCGGCCGCGTTCAATGTCTGTGACGGGGACACGAATCCATGGCATGCAAATCGTCATCGAGAGAAATATATCTTGGTAAGCAAAAGTCGTGCTTGCGTGCTTTTATTGGTGTTATTAAATGGATATTGCTACATGTAAAATTACAGTGTGTTTTTTACATAGTCGTGCAGAATTCCTGCAGTGTTCTACATCTTCGAAAACACCAGGCTGCTGTTCGTTCCGCCAAAGCCAAAACTGTTGGAAATGGCTACCCGAACCGTCTTCTCTTGAGCCGTTAGTGGAACGAAATTAAAGTTGATACCGACGTCGGGCTTGTGTAAGTTTTGTGTAGCTGGTACAACACCCTGCAAAGCCGTTAGCCCTTGTCCATCAGCGTCTCGTCATAGGCAAACAGGACCAACCTCGTATATTGAGAGAATGGCAAACAGAGCCTCGATAGCTCCCGCAGCCCCCAGCAAGTGCCCCATTGCTCCCTTGGTGCTGCTCACCGTGACCTGGGATTCAGCTGATACCCCCTCCTGGCCAAGCATCAGCCTTCGGATGGCGGCCGCCTCTGCCACGTCTCCAACTTGGGTGCCCGTTGCGTGGGCATTTATGTAGTCAACTTGTAAAGGCTTCACTCCGGCATTCTTCAGAGCCCGCTTCATGGCCAGGAACGCTCCTCGCCCGTCTTCTCGGGGCGCCGTCATATGATACGCATCCCCGCTACAGCCATACCCCTTGACTTCAGCGTATATCCGAGCTCCTCTGGCTTTAGCATGTTCCAGCTCCTCTAGCACACAGACAGCAGCTCCCTCGGCAACAACAAATCCATTGCGGCCCGCGTCAAACGGTCGGCAACTGCCGGATGGATTGTCATTGTAGGCCGTGGACAAAGACCTCGCTCTGCCGAAGCCAGCAAATGTGAGTGGGTGAATACAAGCCTCAGAGCCGCCGGCCAGCATGACATCTGCGTCGCCCACGGCAATAAATCTGGAGGCATCGCCAATGGAATGTGCGCCGGTGGTACAGGCTGTAGTGGCAGCGTGGTTCGGCCCCTGGAAGCCGTATTTCATGGCGATGTGACCCGCTGCCAGGTTGATTAGTATCTTGGGGACGAACAAAGGTGAGACTTTCTTGTATCCCTGTTGTATGAAGAGTCAGTGTTTGTATTTTTGCAAGCGTTTTATGGCAGCTCACATCAGTATGGTGTGCCAGACTGGTCTCGTATATTTCGTCCAAGTTGCCGATACCACTGCCCAAGCACACGCCGGTAGCCTCCATGTCCTCCGGCGTCGTCACGTCCCATCCGGCGTCTTTTAGAGCCATGTCGCTTGCCGCAATCGCGTATTGCGTGAAAGTAGACATTCGTCTCTGCTCAGAGGCGCTGAGCCAGTCGCTGGCCCTCCATTGACCCGGCTCACTTCCGACAGGAACGACACCAGCAATGGTGCTTGTCAACTCCTTCCATCTTGCCTGTGGCTGTCGCGACGCAACACTGACTATTCCTGATTCACCGGCGAGTAATCGGTTCCAGATTTGTCGAATGCCCACGCCGAGGGGAGTGACAGCGCCCAGACCTGTAACTACCACGCGGCGCATGACGATGGCGATGTCATGTCGGACGAAGTAGGAAGAAGCTAAGAATTAAGAATTGTTTCGAGTGAGCTCCGTTTGTGGCCAGCGGCGGGTTCTGAAGCGCCCTGATGCAAATCAGGGGTTTCCAATGTGCTCAAAGGTTGACTATAGTTTTGGTCTGGTAATTGCTTCCTTGATGGACGGGTTTGAAATGCGAAGCAACATTTGAAGTTTTCCTATGACACCAGGCAATTGGCATTTGAACCACATGCAGTGATGATTGATCAATGGAGACGGTAGGCTAGCGCTCGCCTACAGCGTCTTCAGTGGCGGGACGGGCGGCACAGCGTGGACCACAGTGAGCACTCGAGGGGTGGTGGTGGACCAGACGCCAGGTAACCCTGACATTCACCAGGGCAGGGCGCGCGCATTTGACGTCTGGTGGTCTGTGCCAGCACTTGAGCGCCCGCGTGAGGAGGATTGACATGAACGGTCTGGTTGGCGTTTTGAGCTGCCAGGGCACCGAGTATTGTAGTTGAAATCGATTGATGTCTGCCGAGTACCTAGGTATTTCATTGTGCTTAAATCAAGTAGGCTCAAGTGCTCCTCCATTGCTCTTTCCCTGTGCCCAGTTGCCCTGATACAGCCCTGTTAGTCATCTCCACTGCCATCACCAGCGTTGGGTCGATGGGGGCGCTTGCGGCTGGCTTCGTGGCTTATTGAGGACACGGCTCAATTGCGAAACACTATTGCCAATATCTTTTGTTCGTGTCTGCATCAGTCGACTCACCGGCCTCATCGTCGGCATCAACTCCCATCCACTTCTTCTCCGTTAGATGCAAAACGTTGGGAGAAAATTGTCACCGGCAGATTGAATCCACCGACTTCCATCTCGACATCTGGACCTGTATCGCATTTGGTCCCCATCATCAGCGGCCAAGGGCAAACGACAAAGGATCGCTTCCCATGTCTCACATAGTCACGGACAAAAAACGCCAATAGAAATCCTCAAATTGAGCTGAATTCGCTGCCCCTGCTTGTTACTTGATCACATGTAGCTGGCCTTTATTCGGACGTGGCCCCTATTTAAAATCATCTCTTTGTTGCACGGCTAATCTCCCCTACCACTCAGAGTACATAAACATTCGGCTTTCACACTTGGCCGCCATGTCGAGCTGATTGAAAGCAAATCAGACCTCATCACAACTTGGAATCACGCGGCCATCCAAGGTACTCTCCCTCGCCATGAGTGCCGAACTTGGCCAACGGCGGATAAGCGCCGAGTCAACAGGATTTGACGCCGGCGCCGGCCCGAGCTCAAGGCTTTCATTCTCCCATCGGCGCTCTGCGTCCATCGAGGGACTCAAGGAGCACATGTTTCAATGGGGCGAGGGCCATGGCAGCGATGACGACGATGTGTCTGAGCATGAGCTCCTCATGGACCCAAACTTGCCAGATGATGAACATGCCGACGCCATTGAGATGGGAACCAGAAGTGTCCGGAAGAGACGCGAGGAGGAGGATTCTCTGTACCCCGAGGTTCGAGCGGCTGTTCGCAACTACGATGAGGACGTCCCCTGCAACACTGTGAGAGCCTGGGTCCTTGGCTTGAGTCTGGTTGTCGTGGGCGCCTCAATGAACACGCTCTTCTCCTTGCGACAGCCATCAATCTCCATTGGGCCACTCGTTGCACAAATAATTGCGTGGCCCGTGGGCCATGCATGGGCTCGCTTCATGCCAAAGAGAAGCTTCACCACCTGGGGCTTCACCTGGACTCTTAACCCTGGCCCATTCAATATCAAAGAGCACTCCATCATTGGAGTCATGGCCAGCGTGTCCTTCTCGGTGGCATATTCAACCGACATCATACTTGCTCAGCGCATCTTCTACAAACAGAATTTTGGAGTTTTGTTCCAGCTTCTACTCACCATCTCGACTCAGTCGCTTGGATATGGTATTGCAGGGACAATGCGCAAGTTTTTGGGTCAGTTGGCCATCGGCCCTGCTCACCCCAATTCCTACAATTGCTGACTGTTGCAGTCTACCCTGCTTCCATGATATGGCCAGCTAATCTCGTGGCTGTAACCATGATGAATACCATGTATGAGAAGAATGATGTCCGAGACCCGGCAGTCTTTGGCGGCAACATGCCGCGACTTCTGTGGTTTTTCCTCGTCACCGTGGGTGCATTCGTGTACTACTTTATCCCTGGATTTTTAGCCCAATGCTTGAGCGTTTTCGCTTTTGCTACTTGGATCGCGCCCCAGAATGCTGTTGTCAACCAGTTGTTTGGTGGCACAACCGGCTTGTCCTTACTCCCCATTACTTTTGACTGGACTCAAATTTCGGGCTGGGTAGGATCGCCGCTGATTCCGCCTTGGTGAGCTTAAAGGACACCCTCTCCCATTACAAAACATGCTGACTGTTTCAGGTATGCCATAGCCAATACTTTGATTGGAGTTATTGCATTCTACGTCATTGGATGTTCTGTTCTTCACTTTTCTGGGGCCTGGTATGCGGAATTTCTACCCATGAGCGATGCAAACACATATGACAATACCGGCGCTCCATATAATACATCACGTGTCCTTAGCAAAGACTTTACTCTAGATCAAGAAGCTTACGAAAGCTACTCACCGCTGTTCCTTAGGTATGTTCGCGCTAATGAATCTTTCACACGTCGACTTACATGCTTAGCACGACATTTGCCGTGTCATATGGTCTCTCTTTTGCGGCTATTTCATCCCTTATCGTATATACATATCTCCACAACGGCAAGCAAATTTGGAAACAGTATCAAAACAGTGCAAATGAGAAACCGGATATTCACCTGAAGCTCATGAAGAAATATAAAGAGGCGCCAGACTGGTGGTACATGGGCCTATTTCTTGTGGTAAGCCAGCCCCTGTGAGCCTAGGGCGCTCTCTGTCTAATTCAGGCGTTGCGTATAGATGCTTGCAATGGGCCTGTTTACTGTATTAGCATACCCTACCAAACTCACATGGTGGGGATTTCTCCTTGCCGTGGCAATATCGTTTGGCTTTTCATTGCCAATTGGTATTATTGAAGCTGTCACGAATAATCGCATTGGCTTGAACGTGCTCACAGAGTTTATTTTTGGATATATTCAGCCAGGCCGGCCGTTGGCTCTCATGATGTAGGTTTCGCTGAGACAACACCTACGGACATGAACTAATGGATTGTAGTTTCAAAACATTTGGATATATCACCATGTATGTACTGCGCTCTAGCACTACGCACTACACATAATAAGCTAACCGTCCCAGGTCTCAAGCACTCAGCTTCGTCTCTGATCTCAAGTTTGGACACTACATGAAAATCCCTCCGCGGACCATGTTCTGGGCCCAAGTAGTCGCCACCACCTTCTCATGCTTCATCCAAATCATAGTGCTCAACCTCGCACTCACCAACATTCCCGATGTCTGCGACCAACATCAGCGGCATCACTTCACCTGCCCTGGAGGCCGAGTCTTCTTCTCAGGTATGTCAACTCTAACTTTTATCTTTCCCCCTTTTTTTTGCTCCAACCCATCTGACAGCCTTCAGCCTCTGTCATCTGGGGCCTCATCGGCCCAGACCGCATGTTCTCTCCGGGCCGCATCTACTCTGCTCTCTTCCTCTTCTTCGTCCTTGGCGCCATTGTGCCCATCGTCGTCTACTTTGGCTTCAAACGCTACCCTAAATCTCCGCTCCAGTACGTCATGGCGCCACTAATATTCGGCGGCGCGGGCGCAATCCCACCGGCCACGCCACTGAATTACTTCTCCTGGGGCATCGTGGGCTTCATATTCCAGTACTGGATTAAGAAAAGGCATTTCGGATGGTGGGGGCGGCTGAATTTCCTGACGTCGTGTGGGCTGGATTTGGGATTAGCACTCGGCACCTTGTTTATTTTCTTCGCCTTTACCATGCATGGGATCGAGGCGCCCAAGTGGTGGGGGAATGAGATCGTGGACTCGACAATGGATGCGCAGGGGACGGCGGTGCAGGGACGGGTTGCGAGTGGACAGGTATTTGGGCCGAAGAGTTGGTGATTTTTATAGAGTGATAGACTGTGTTTAATAGACTTGTACATGCCTGCAGTGATGTCATGCGCATCATGGGCTCGGGCAAATACTATAATTGGCCCTATCAAGGAATTCTACATATAACAATTGTTTATTTGGTCAGAAACCCCAAACCCCTTTCATCCTGACATTCCTGATATTTCTGACCTCTAAGTCAACAGTTCTGAGGATCCAATCGGAGCATGCCACGGTGTCAGTCATGAACAGTGGTCGCGAAGGAAATAGCGACATACAAGCACTAAAGGCTGATTATTGCTTCAAGGGATGGCCACCATCTGTGGAAGCTTCAAGTTGCAGAGATTCTCAAAAACCGATCCTGTCACGGCTCAAATATTCGCACATATCTACAGTCGAGTGTTTAGAAACCGGACCATAGCTTTCCATTCATCCTTAATACCAATGACAGAAAGAAGCCGAAAGTGCCGCACACTCGGTCACGTCCGCTCAAAAAAACAGCACAGTGGAGGCGAATTCCGAAATCCATACATCCTCAAGCTTCCCGTCCTCCAAACATGAGACGACCGGGCCCTTGACAGCCGATGTGGCACCAAGTTGATGGAGTCTCGTCTCAAGGCAATGGAACCAGGCTGCATAATGAAGCAGAACATGGGGTTGCTCCAGAGGAAGACTGGGGTAAGACTTCGCACTCGAGCCAGAGAAGGCCATGAAGGAGGATTGAATGAAAGGGGAAGATTGGGTGAAATTTCTCGCTTTGAGCGCCTGGCTTGCTTCGTAAAAGCTTCTGGGATTGCGTTTTTGCGCACAACCTTGGCGAAAGACCAGAAAGACACAGAAACAGTTCACTACAAGCTTGCCGTAAGCTGCCTCGACTATCTGAAGGGCAGTTTTGGTGATCTTGCTTTCCTCCAATACGCAGATAGCTTTTGGTCAACCCATCTGGACAAGGCAGGAAGCCAAATGGATGGTCATGGCATGGCAGCGCTAGCTTTGGCAGCTCATAATGGCCATTCCACCACCGTCGAGAGACTGCTACAATGCGAAGAAATCGGTATCGAAAGCTCGGCAGATTCTTTGTAGGTTGCGGCCAAGAACGATCAAAAACATGTCATGGACAGGCCTTCGTAAAGAGATGGAGACCTATTGAGATTCAAGGATCAAAATGGCCACACGCTTCTTCATAGAGCGGCTGAGGAAGGGAGCAAATCTGCCATAAGACGCTTGGAGCTAGGTATTCGTCCCAATCAGAAAGACGAATTTGTTGATTTTGTAATTTTAAGGATGCCGATAAGACAATCAATAGGCCTTGATTGCTGCTATCATCACGGATGAAGAGGTAGTAATATCTGTTAACATGTTTCCGCGGTACTCGTTGACCGGTTTGTTTAAAGCGGTTGCAAAGCGGTTCATCAAGCGGAGGTGAGGGTGAGTAATTAAACCAAGTGATTTAGTTTTGGTTTACGGTACTATATTACGAAAGTTTTACTTGTACTGCGTCCCGACGACGGGAGCCTGGGAATTCCAGTGAATGGCCATACACGAGGGCAAGCTAGCCATGCATTGCTCTTGAAACTGGCCGTTTTAGAACAAGGAAAACACAACGATGGTACAAAACCTCTGGCAGCCAATAACGACACGGTGCCATTGATCCATTCAGTTATACCGGTGGTCAATAGGTCTCTGCAAGGGCCATGAAAAATTTTAAATACCTGTAACGTATGGATCGCTGGACTTCCATCGAGAACAAATGATGGAGGCATTCAATCACAGTCTCCAAAGAGAGATGGTCCCGTGCACCCATATCTTCCACATGTAAGCAAATAGAATGCAGTTAATATAACTTGATGGAATCAAGGCGTTGGCACCGGCGACTATTACCACGTCAGAGCATGTATGTTTCAAATTCAGCTATTGAGGGATATATACCTGCCTGCCACTGGATTGCTTCGTCAAAATACACGCATGTGGCGGGATAACACAGCAGCCACACGAGAGCTCGCACGCTTCATATTGAAACAAGCATCCATTACAAAAATTTCTGTAAAAATATGTGTGATGAAGGAGAGCGAAGCGCCCCGTCTCGGACGTAGAGAGTAGAGAAGGGTAGTCACGTGTTTTAACCCACCAAGGTTCACAGCGAGAGGGCGCTAACATAGCAACGTGCTTTTGCAAAGCGCACCGTTTTCCAAACCCAAGAAAAAAAAATCTTCTCCCCAACCGTCTGGATTGAACAGCTTTCCATTTCACCTTTGAAAAAAAAAACCTAGCAATCTACCACAAACTACATACACGTCCAACAGAGTAAGTACCCCGCCCTTCCCCTCACATTGATACCAACTTAGCAGAATTTCTCCCCGCAGCGACGACGCCCGCCACAATGAGCGAACGACAAAACGGAACGGTCAAGTGGTTCAACGAGGAGAAGGGGTATGGCTTCATCACCCCCGAGTCCGGGCCCGACCTGTTCGTGCACTTTAGAGCCATTGAGGGAAGCGGCTTCAGGTCTCTCAAGGAAGGGCAGGCGGTCACTTTTGAAGCCGTCCAGGGACAGAAGGGCATGCAGGCGGACAAGGTCCAGGTCAGCAACTAGCAGGTCGAGAGGAGGACGGGCTTTCCCCCCCCGCGGACAGTCACGAGGAATTTGGTTTTAATTTTATCTCTTGTTTCCTTTTGCCTTGGCAATCCAGTCGTCCGGGATGTACTATGCGTGCTGGTCTGGGAAAATCTGCAACCTTGCGGGCACGGCTTTTCTCCCGTCCCGCCCGAATAAAACGGTCGCTCTGATCATGCGTTTTCCCTTGGGTGATGAAGGAGGGATCGTGGCTGTGTTTAGAGGCTTGTGACACACCCGGATTTCAAATTTTGCTGTTGATGGTGATGATCAAACTACTCCGTGCATGGCTGTTTCCCCTCTCGCTGCTTGCTTTTTCCTTGTGCAGAGCCGCCTGGGCTGAGGAGCTGGGGAGGTGCCTCGGGGTTTCAACCCGCGCGTCTTCCAAATAGCGGTCGGGGGTATGGGATTGCCGAACATGGGTGCTACGGGCGTCGTTGTGCTTTCATCGTGATGATGTTGTAGGGCTCCGTCCTCTGAATATTTGCCAGCTCCGAAGCACATGTGGGGAGATGCTCTATCCCAGCCGCCGGTTGCAGTGAGAACTGATGCACAGCGGAGGCGAGACTGTCACAGAACCGGTGCGTGTAATTTGCATGATATATGTCTTGCCGGCAATATTCGCCAACGTCTTGTTGGGCCCTTCCGCAACATGCAACCGTTGGCTTTGATGCAATGCGAAAAGGAGGGCGACAACGGCGGGTTGTTATCGCATCATGCTTTCTGAAAATGAGAAACGGCCATCCATATGCAGGGCACACCGCATTTGGCGGCAGCGGGAGCGCTTGAGTCACACGGCATGGATATCGGTTCAAGAGTGCTTCCCAGGGCGCCGGGGCAGGGCAGCGCCATATAATTTCATGTACGCGGCTTAGAATATACGACTTGCTTCGAGGACATCCCGAGGCTTGGCAGAAGACGGCCGACTGTGTGCAAGCTGACTGCTCGGACTGGTTTGTGCATATTGAGTCTATTCGAATATAGTTACATGAACCACCACACTTGACCAACTAGTTTGTCCTGTCAAAGACCAAATTCTACAGTACCAACCTGCCAGGCTCCTCCTCCAGGATAGCTTTGCACCTCTCCAAAAACATATGCGCTCTATGCTCCTCCTCCCTCGGCACAACAAGACTAAACACGTTGAGGCCGTTGGAAAATCCTGGAACAGTAGCGATGCCATGCTCGCGAGCAGCCTTCTTGGGCTTGGCAGTCAGCACGTCTATAATGTCAGCCTTCTTGGCCGGTCGTGTGGGCGGCTCGAATAGCGTGCTGGGGGGGACGGCTGAAATCTGCGGCAGGTAGACGCCGCGGGATCCCTTGGCTGCCTTGATCTTGTCTAGACCGAGAACCTGGTCGAAGAGTTCGCTGGCAGTGGGGGCGCGATTGGCAGGAGGCAAATCGTCGTTGGCGACTTCGGCAGCACGGCTGATGAATGTGGAAAGGGGCATGAAGACGCCGAGTGTCTTCTGGATGCGTTTCTGGACCTCGACGACTTTGCTGAGGGACACGGGGACGTTGATTTCCAGGGGACGGGCTTCGTGCCTGGAAGGCTTGGGTTCCTGTGGCGCGGCGGGAGCAGCCTTCTTCTCGGCGACCTTGATGTTGCTCAGGTCCAGGTGGGATAGCTTCTCGAGGCGTGACGACACGGCGGCAGGGCTGTCGGCGTTGATGCTGCCCAGGTAGGCTAGCACATCGCCCTTAAGCAAGCGCCCGCCTGGACCCGTGGGAGTGATTTTGCTGACGTCGTCCTTGCTCAGGCCATTCTGCTTGACGAGGTGTTCGACCGACGGCATCAGGGGATACTTTTGCTCGTGAGTTTCTCCGGTCGACGCTCTTGGCGTGGACTTGGTCTTCTTCTCGGGGATAGCCTCCTCCTGCTTGGGCGCCGCAGCTGAGTCGCTGCTGCTCTGCTGCTGCTCGTCCTTTGGAATCTCGAGTGTCTTGATATCGTCACCTGCCTCAGCCAGCACGGCGATCCGAGTCCCGACCTGCACGGCCTTGGCCCCATCCTGCGCCATAATCTTCATCATGATACCATCGTCCTGGGCCTCCACATCCATGGTCGCTTTATCCGTTTCGATTTCCAGGAGGACATCGCCGGCGCTGAAATTCTCGCCCTCTTTGACCTTCCACGTGGCAATGTTTCCTTCGGTCATAGTCGGAGAAAGAGCGGGCATAACGAAATTCTGTGCCGCAAGGCATCGTGCAGAAGTTGTGAGGCCTATACGTTCCAGTTAGCAAAGCAATAAAAAACAAAGCCCCCGTGATGCCAGTTGATTAAACTGCGGACGCTTCGTAAATAGTACCAAAGCCGCAGCAGATAAATAAGAACATACCCCGAGAAGAGGCCCTCCCAACAAGACGAGCCGAAGCACGGCAAGCACCCGCTAAAGACGCCATGACAGCTCAATTGAGCAGTCTGATGTGTCGTATTGTCAAAATAGCTCGATTCGTAGAGTATTGGGATCGGGCGGAGGGGGCGAGGCTTTGGAAAGCTGCGCTCCAAAAATTGAGAGCTTTTGGAGCTGTTGGGGAGCGCCGATACAGGGCGGAATGAGCCCGGATGATGGACAGCAGTTTTTTGGGGGACGACATCGGTACGTACCGACGTTGAGCTAAGCCGGACAAAATAGTGTCGCCAGGATGTGCGGGCCATCATCGCACCCAATGCACGCATAATTTCGTACACTCTCCCGGGCTTGTCGGCGCTATGCGGCAAATCACCCAACCCAGTGGACCACCCCGATAAGGTTATCAATTTTCGATTCTAAATTGTCACCAGCTTCCACGTCGCGAGACGAATTTGCCCTGATGACGGGTTTCGCGAGACCGCAGCCTCGCAATACGAACAACACCACAGGTCCGGCAAATCGCGTGGGCTAAGACCCAATGGCTACTTTCTCACGGGGCATCGCCCTGCTCCCTCTCCCGCTCCCGCTGCGAGCTCTCCCACGCCCGGCGCACCCCGTCGGATCGACCCGATTCCTCACAACCTCGCTCCGCCGACTGCGAGCACCGCAATCGGCCTCCCCGTCTGCAAAGCCAGCAAAGAAACCACCGTCCAGCCCACCCCCCGCCGCGAGAGGGAGCCCGACGACCGCCGCAGCCTCCCGGTACGCATTCATCAAGAGCCTCTCGTCGAAGCAGACGCCGACGGTGCTGTACGAGGCCCCCTCCCACTTCTGGTTCTACTTTGGCTGCTGGACCAGCGGCACCGCGATCCTCGCGTGGACGGCGCTCACGGGGCCGACGGTCGTCGAGCAGCCCGACGGCACGCCCCAGTGGGTGGGCTACGTGTTCGGCGCCTCGTACGTGCTCCTCGGCGCCATGGGGTTCTACCTGCTCTCCAAGACGCCCAACATTGTCGGCGCGATACGCGTGCTGCCGCCAACCACGGGGGCAGCGCACCCGCGCCTCGAGGTCACGGTGAAGCGCATGCTGCCCGTGCTCAAGCCGAGGACCGTCGTCGCACCCCTCGAAAACGTCCGCCTCAAGTCGAGGTTCTCCCTGCCCGAGGAGTACGTCCCCGAGCTGAGGCGGCTGGAGCTCAGGATGAGGGAGGAGGAGCGGCGCCAGGCGCTGCGCAAGTTTGACATGGAGCACCTCTTGACCATGCCGTTCCGGAGGCTGGGCAGGGCGTTTGCCAACATGTTTCGCGGGGTGAGGAGCGCGTGGACGGACATGGGATTTGGGGTCTTGAGCGTCGACGGGAAGGAGTACAAGGTTGATGTGACAAAGGGGTTCGCGCACGATGGGTTCAAGACGTTGGAGCAGATTGTGGCCGTGGGATATACAAAATAGAGCGTGAGTCGAGGGATGCTGGTGTAGTTGCGGATCTGGGGCTATTCGGGCGAGTCCATGGAAGGGTGAGCATTTGCTGTATCATGGCATTTTTTGCACGGGCATTGGCTGGCGACTATGTAGACTTTTGGCATGCACCAATATGTACAGTACTGTATAATTCTTGCTCGGGCACAATTGTAGATTCGGTGTGCTCGCGGAGGGGGAAGACGTTTGGTATACACCTACGGCGTTATGCGATGGGAAAAAAAAAAATTGGACAATATCAACCATGTCGCTGTATTCATCTTAACACCATGCAGTTATGATCTAATGGCCACGGTTTTTTGGTGCTTATCCAGCTGGGGCAAAGAATCAATGCATTATGAGCAAAGCAATCAATAACACGGCGATGTGGATTTTGATTCACCGCCGTGGCCGAGTCCACAAAGGCGCAACTTCACGTCGTCGCACCCTCTACCTCTACCTCTACTGCTGTCAATCCATCTGCCGACATCCATGGTCGGTCTCAGGTTTCTCAAATTCCGGGCCCATGCTGGACGAACCACGACTTATCGTGGACATGGCCAATGTGCGAAACTCCCCGCAACCCATCGACGATGAACCCCGCGCCGGCCGAAGATATAAAAGTGATTTATCATGTGCTGTGTGACTAACAACTATCCCCTTTTTCTTCCCACGACGGCAACGATCGCCGAACTGTTTCGCAAGCCGGTAAACCCCAGGGGAAGGTCATGCAAGAGGCCCCGGACTGGCCAAAAATGCTGCACAACAGGCGACGACAGGTAAACCGGCGTATTGGGTATACGCGCAGTGCCCAAACTCACCACCGACGGCGGAGTTGCCGGTTCAGCATGCAAGTCGCAGCGTATTTAGACTTTGGCCTCGGGGCAGTAGGCTTCATTGTTCAATGGCCTCGGGGCACAAAATAAAAATCGCCGCCAAGTCGACATCCATTATTGCCGAATTAGGGGCCCATCTGGTCTGGAGATTGACAACTGCCAACTTCATCATCGTGCAGCAAACCCTTGTGCTACCCGACAGCGCCGTCGTTCGAGGGCGTTGCAGGGGAATGCGGCCATGGCGCCATCTGCAGCACAGTCTGTGTGTACGGAGTACGTACTCGGTACTCTATGTATGCTCTGCTCCATGCTCTGTGTGCCGGTAAGACGCACATGGCCTATGTGCAGCGCTGTAGTTGCCCAACATTGAAGAGTTCGGGCAACGAAACAGAGTTGCAGACGCGGCAGGTGGAACTTCCCAAGACCAACGACCGACGACCGACGACCGACGACTTGACGCGACAAGGACCAGTTGACATCTGGACGCCCCCCCTCAGCCTCCAACGGCTTGCTCCAGGCGGTGAGTGGCGCCACTCGGATCCGGGCTCGCGCTGCCCAAGAGTCCACGACGCCGGGGTGGTCAAATAAGCGAAGGGGTTCAGATCGTGGGTGTGGGATCCCCATTCTCCCATTCTCCCATTCTCGCCATTGAGGAATGTGTGTACGGCCCAGCGTCATGTGGTGCGCGGGCAATACCCGTCTTTGGCAACGTGGTTGGCCAGATATGGTGTATTTCTGGAACAACCGCCAGTGGCGCGGCCGTGGTTGACGCTATTCCATAAACCACCATGGTGAAGTCCGCACCAAGAGTCAACGCACCTGCTCCGTACATATCGAGGGCGAACTGGTGGGAGTGCATGGCATGGCCCACTTTGGTCCCCTCTGATCGTGAACATATGACGGAGGTTTGGGCGACATGAGCTGAAAATATTGTGCTCTTTGCCAAGGCCAACCGACGTAGCCAAACGTCCAACGTGGACAGGTTGGTGCCGGAGACGCAGATACCACCAGGCTTTGCCAAGAGATGCTGCTCTCGAGTTTGATGCTTTACCCATCTTCCGTGACTACATGTATGTACCAACTGGAAACCTCGACTCCGCCGACGAGACCCTGGGCTGTTCCTTAGTGGGCAGAAGGCGCCTTCGCTGTGTTGCTGTGTAGCCGTGCAGCCGTATAGCCGTGTAGCTGTCTATCAAATGTCAAGCCGCTGGGTTGGATGGGCTTCTTGGCGGCGGGTATGATCATCGCACAAGGAACACTTGAGACCCTCAGATGGAACGCTAGTCAATTGTGGTGGCGGGGTCAAACACCGACCGTCGACTTCATTCGTGACATTTGAAGCCGGTACGAATCATGTCCTCCAGGTAAAGAAAGAAGGTCTGTTGTGCCGCGACCATTACGTGCTCTGTCTTCTGCGGGCCGGCTATCGATGATTGTGCGACTGCAATGACGTACCGGAGTACCGTCTGCCCAAAATTCACATCGCTTTGTGTCGATTCATCTCCATGGAAGAGATCCAGTCCGCCTGTGCTTTATCAGGGCGTCCTTGTCATTACAGCCGTGCGTCCAATATGAGGGGATCCGTGCTGGTGAACCGAATGGACTCATAGGATGGTGTTGGAATGGCGGCCTGAAATGTTGCCATGGCTCGGCAGCACAACATGATTCATTTTTTTTTATCGCCAATTTCGCTTCACCAATCCCATATCTCCTGCCTTCACCACAGCTGGTGTGCAGAACTGCAATCACAAGTTGACTGAAATCCCCCGGACAGCCAGTGAAATTAGGCATCGGTTTCAAGAGCAAGCAATGCCGACTTGTCTGAGATGCGCCTGGGTGGTACGGACGGAGTACATACATGATGGCCGTCATTTGTGATTGTGAGACGCGCATCAGACAGACAGACAGACATGGCAAGTCTGCAATACTAGTATCTGCTGGCAACTGGCGTTCATGTTCGACGGGACGAATACCAACTACAAGCATGGCTCGAATACATGACTTGCACAAACAAGATAAGGCACGCTGCCGCTTACAGGCCAATCCCGTGCATGGCGAGAATGGCGGTGGAGGTTGACAATGGCGGGGTCCGTACATGGATTACATGGATGCCACGTACTTATGTACTCCGTACTATCCTGAGTGGCCAGAATCAAACAAGCAGCAGTGGGAACAGGATTGTCATTCGATCAGAGCCATCTTGAAACGGCCATCCAAACATCTTGGCTGCCGAGGAAGGTGTGCGGCCTCGTCTCAACTGACACATACACTATACTCCGACGCGATCCAGGGCAAGGCTGGCTTCATTGCCGGCCCTGCATGAAAGTGACAGCTACCTCGTGTCATCTGTCCATGGCCTGGGCGCTCTTTGCATCACATGTGGTGATGATGTCGTTATTCGGCATGTCAAACCGGTGCGAGTGAGTACTACTACTAATAAGGCTGGTGGTGAACCGTTCACCGGTGAATAAGCGAGCCATGGCATATGTCACAACTCCATGGCCGGGGCTTGGCAACCAAACAGAACCGAATCCAACAATCTGGCTCCATATGGAGTACTGCGATCAACGGGGGCGTGAACATTGAACCGGGGTCCTCCACTGACTGGTCTTTTATACTGGTCCGATGCCAGCTGGCCGGTGGTTAGCTTTTTAATACAGACTATTATTGCCCAGTATGACACACAGCAGGCCAATGCAACGGCTGTGAATGGTCTGAGAATGATGTGGTTGCAAGTGAAGGCGAGCTTGTATCAACCGGGGCACCATCGGCGGCTCAGATGTTAGCAGGGCGAGGACAGCCTGTTGTGGATACTGCGAAGTTTACTAGATGCAAGATGACACAAACAACGGCACCAATGTTCGGTGGTGAGTGGTTGGCAAGTTGAGTATGCCATAGACTGCTGGTTACGGTGGTGAGATGCTCTCAGTGCTCTGTTGTACTCCGTACGGGGCCCTTGGTATGCCGTGTAAGTACGGAGTACCGCAACACCATCAATGTTCCGCTGCAGCTGTGAATCCCAAGGGTTGCCCAGTCGCGTAGTCGGTTCTAAACCGAAACCGTATACCGAACCGGGAATAAACGGTAACCAAGGCCTATGCGGCCTGTCCACAATTCCATCAACCCATCACAACAACGTGTAGTAACTCATTCGCGTTGAAAGTACTAAGGTTTTGATGTAGGCTCGGTTTCGGACTGTTGTAAACAAAGTATATTGTATTCGATTTGTTAGTGGCATGACTCCATATTCCGCACCCCGTACTTGGTACATATTCCTGATGATGATATACGTATGTGTGTGTGTGTGTAAGTGTATGGGTATGGGTATGTTTTTTTTTTGGTCACACGTCATTTTCATTTTCGAATGCGGACATCCCTGATCAAGATGGACCTAACCTGGGGCGCTAAGATGAGCGACGGGTCTGGTAGTACTTAATTAGCAGTATTATCTGTAAGGTTGAACCCTTGGCGGTACGGAGTACAAACAACAATTCCCTAGCCAACCAGTCCCAGGCCCGTTTTGCCATCTCGAAGGCAGGGAGGTGGTAATCTGTGGCATCGTGCTCTGTCAATCAATCTGGCTAGAGTGCGACCGCCCGACCCGAAGAACTGGTATGCACGGATTCAGTATCAACGATGTTCATTTGCTGTATTCTTACAACAGTCCAACTATTCAATCGTCTTTATCAAGGCCGGGTGGCAATTCTTCTCTGCGACCATGCCGTAGCCAAGAAGCCAAAAGAAATGGAAACTTTTTTGGGAGACAATTTTTCGAAACCACCAGACGCAGCATGTTTCGCCGCCAGAAGAACCAAAGTCGATGACTGTCGAGTATGCTATGCCGCGAGCCAAGAGGTATTGTAAACAGCATGCTGAAATGGATCTCACGGTGCCGGTGCCGAGTGGTCCATGGATGGGTAGGGTACGGAGTGCATGGCAGCACGTAAACAATGCTATCGTTGCCAAGTTCGCCGCATACCAGTGCACTCTCTGGTATGAAGCTACTCTAGCACAGGTATTGACCTTTTTTTTTTTCTTCACTAAAACGTGGTTATCTCGATCGATGCGGGGAAAGGAATGAAACACAACCCTTCAGATAGGGAGTTAACACTCTTCCAGACCACTTTGACCTCACTGGGAAGCAAATAGGGCCTTGAA